TTTTTTCAATTAAAAAATTAAAAACTTTGTTAAACTTGCTAAAAATATTTACATTTATTTCGTTTAAGTTTTTTTTTTTGTTAATTTTAAATCTTTTTGTTTGTTGCAGGTTTTATAAACCAGTTCAGATTGTATTTTACAATTTTTATGTAGTTTAGTGTTTGTGTGTCAGTGCTCAGTGGTGCAAGGTGAGAGGACAGTGCGGGCAGCCCGAAGGATCGAGTGGTTTGGGGTTAGTGCGTGAAGGAAACTCTGCGAGATGGGCAACGGGGCTCGACTGCGCCTCGGCTGCAACGGACTCATAAGGAAATTCCTGCTCCGTTCGGTTGGATCAGACGGCGGAGATCATGTGGGCATCGTTCTCGTTGATGAGGTCCTTGCATTTGCCATTGATTTCGATGGTGTGATTGGACTCCGTGTCGCTGGGCTCCTGTTCGCCGGGCTCCTCCTCGTCGCCATCGTCCTGGCTGGAGGAGGAGGCGGAGCCGTTGCCGTTCACTTCCAGCTCGGGCGATTCACGCTCCTCGTTCTCCTCGTAGATGACATCACAGCTGGTGGCCAGAGTCTTTGGCGGTGGCTTCTTAACCGCATTGCCTCGCTGCTGCTGCTGCTGCTGCTGCTGCTGCTGCTGCTGCTGCTGCTGCTGCAGCTGCTCGGCCATTTGATTCTGCATGTCGCGCAGCCTGTCCGTTAGAACAAACAGATCCCGCTCCTGGCTATCGCAGCGCTGGCGCAGCTCGGCGATCTCGCGCAGGTCCTCGGGCCGCGGATCACGGCGCTCATAGCGCATGCGCATCTCCTCGAAGCTGCAAAAGGATTCGCGAATTTGGATTAGTGATGCGTGCAAGGCGTCTCGATCCGGAGGCAGCGACAAGACGAGACGACACGGCTAAGCGTAGGTTAAGCAGAGTTCAGCCCCAGACTAGGCTTACAGACTTACAGATTGGTCAGGCAGCGGCACTTGCGATGCAGTTGCTCGATCTCGTTGGCGTTGCTAATGTCGCGTTTATCCAGCGCCGCCTTCTCAGCATCGTAGGCGGCCTTCAGGTCCTTCAGATTGCGCTGATGCCGAAGCTCTACATCGCTGTACGTTTGTCAATGTTAGAAGCAGAGAGAGACAGAGAGAGAGAAAGAGAGAGAGACAGAGAGAGAGTGAGGGAGGGAGATAGAGAGGGAAAGAGTGTGTTTGTGTGTGTGACAGAGGAGAAGACGAATAAATTGCGAAAAAGAGAAAGTAAAAGTTATATATTCATTGACAATAATTATTCATAGCAAAGCAGGCACAAGACTCTCTGATTGATTGATTGATCGATTGATAGTTATATGTATATAGATAGACTTCGATACTTAGATGTGCTAAATGTTGTTCAAGAGATGGCGATATTTGATATAGAGCACAGCAATTATATTGAACACTAAGCATGCTAAGGCAATCAATGGCGACATCGTCAGATACAGCACATAGATGCTGGGCGCATATGGACACGCCCACTTCGCAAGCACACACAGGGCGCCCGCACCAATGCAGCTGTGTGTGTGTGTGTGTGTGTGTGTGTGTAAAAGAGAAACAAGAGACAAGTAAATGCATGAATTTGTTGGCAGGCAAATGAAAAATGAGAAATGTGGCAAACAAAAACAGTTGGAAGTCTATTGGCAGGCACTGTATATATATATATATATATATATATCTATATATATATGTGGGTTTAGGCTCTAGTACAGTTAGCTGGGGTTACGTACGATTGCCTCGGAGCCAATTCACTCACTTGATTCGTTCCTCGGCAGCGGCCAACTTGGCGCGATGTCGCTCGACCAGCTCCTGAATCGCCTCATCCCGTTCGCTTTGCAGTTTCGCCTTTTGGCTCTCTGCAAAGATTATGGCTGTAGCATAGGTTTCGCTCTCTCACTCAACTAAAGCTTACCCAGCTCCTTTCGATGCGTCTCTATCATGTCCTGCGTGGACAGCTGCAGCTCCTTGGCAAACTCCTCCTTGACTTGATCCAAACGTTCGCGGAACTTCTCCTCCATTTCCTCCTTTTCCGCTTCGAACTCCTTGCGCAGCTTCTCCTCCAGCTCCACGCGTCGATCCTCCTCGCGGCACATGGCATTCTGATACTCACGATCCGCCCGATCCAGATGCATGCGCGTCTGCAGCAGCGCATTGTCCGAGCGCTCGCGCAGCGACAGAAAGTCCTGCTTCTTCAGCTCCAAGTTCTCGGTCAGCTCTTCGATCTGGAAGGCATGGAGGTGGATTATTATGTTCGGGAATAATTACAAGTAAAAGTTGCTTTGGCACCTCGGCACGCAGCTCCTCCTCGTTGGCCGTGTAGCGATTGGTCAGCGCACGCAGCTCCTCAATGTGCTCCGCCTGCAGCTTGTCCAAGGCGTCGCGTCGCTCCTCCACGTAAACGGATTCCAGTTCATTTGTCAGTCTTGTCATCTCTGTGCTGTGTGGTGGAAGATTGTGATTAC